AAACAATATCATAAATCTCATTAAAATGTGTGTTTAATAATTAAATTTTGTTTTAAATGACGTTTTGTGTATAGACTGAAAGCCAACCATTATAAAAATGGGTGAGAACTATTAGGTTGACTTTCATATGATGTGTCTTGTTTAAACTGACGAACCTAAATTTATTTACTGACCGTTGCGCCACCTATTTATGGCACACTGTGAATTTGAATCTGGTTAACCTAAAATCACTTTGCCCACCAATAGTATACTGTAACCATATGAGTATGCATGTTGGTGAATAGGAATTTTACAGAGTTAAAATATTTTAAATTTTATCATAGAAACAATACTAATTAAGCTACTTATTTGGCTATGGGTCACGTAACTTTGTATTAACAAGGCCTTTAATAAGGTGCTCTCACATTATCTCGCTCTCACGCTCCCTCTTTCTGCCCCCCATTGACTGAACCCATACAAAAGCTTCATACACACCCACAATATCATCCAATAATAAATAGGGAGCGAGATAATGTGAGAGCGCCTTATTGAAGGCCTTGTAAACCTAGGCAAGTTTATTATTTATAAAGATAACACCATAGGTAAAGTTTCCATGATAAATATTTTTATACAATTTTATTCATTTTCACTATTTTAAACCACAATTCAGATATGAATAATGTGGTTTATGGAATTGTTCGGCCCCCTCCCTACAGCCCACCGACCCTATGAGCTAATGTTATCCTATGGAAAATCGAAACATGAAAGGATAGGGTAGTTTTTATCCATGTTAATCCTATGGGATAAATGCTTTAACATCGGTTTCTATAGGATTACAGCTTAAGTCTACGGCATAGGCTCAACATAGGCCATGCTAAATCTATGGCAATACTAATTCTATGAATAGTGATCGTATGGAACTATGCATGTTAAATCTAGGGAATTAGTGCTAAATCTATGGGAATTATTATGAGTCTATGAGACTAATGCTAATCCTATAGACCTAATTGTAAACTTTAATTAATTTATAAATGTATATTTAATAATACAAAATTCTATACAAAATACAATAATAGGTGTATTTTCATACATATTGTAAATCTAATATTTTAATCTATTAATTAACTATTAATTATAATTAAATTATATATGTGATTTAAGATGATTGTAACTTTGTTTGATTATAGTTATGAGTTTAATAATTAATTTTATTACATTTAATTTATATATTAATTTTAATAATAATATTGAAACATGTACTATTTATTACTGAATAATATATGGGACTAAGTTAATGATTTTTTCATTTATTAAGACTTATTAACAATTTAATTAAGATATACATGATAAATTGATGTTTAAAACAGGATTTATTTATTTATAAAATTAAATATTTAATATAATTATTTTTGGTGCATTTACAATAATTTATTGGGCAATTACTTAAATATTTGTAACAATTGCTATAATAGAAACAAAAAAACTATTTTACAAACAATTTAATTTTTAGCATAAATTAATAAGTTTTAATACAATAACTTTACTAAAATTTATTTTAAAAATATAATTACAATATAAGATATATTTGTTTAATTTATAACTAATAATTGCAGTCATTTTCAAATCAAGACAATTACAAGTAATTACCATCAGATATGCTGGAAGTGATGTCTTTGGCGGTGACTTTTACCATCCATTGTCCAGACGTCCATCCATTCAAATGATAACCATATGGTAAACTGGGTATTCCTGTTTATTTTCTGGTTGAAAGGGTAAATGAAATTGGCACAAGTAATGATCATGATGATTGCAAAATGAATTCATTTTAGACATTGATGACTTTCATCTCATATTCAGAGAAAATGCATATATAAAACATTGCCATTAAAGGCAAACACCTATTGCTGATTAAATAAAACACTATTAAAATAAAACTGAATTAAATAAACCTAGATTTATAAACATAAATATAACGCTGCGTTGAAAAATATTGCGATGCGTTTAGAATGTAAAGGGATTTCAAAAATCGTAAATAATTGGTGCGTTTCGTTGTACTTACGCTTACCATATCCTCGACCCGTGAAACTGTTAAGACATACAAAATAATTACATATTTGGTCACAACATAAGTGACCTGAAAATGACTGCAATTCATAACAATTTGTATAAATCGTAGCAAATATTTGACACTCGGCAATGTCGGCGATTGTATGACCACTTGTATGGGTGCAGTAGATGTGTTCACTTTATAATACTACAGATGCTTGACGACCATGGTCATTTGAGTTTGAAAACATGGTATTCAGGAAAGTTACTTTGACCAAGAGTTGATCCACCGATTTCCACCTAGACATACGCTAATTAAGGAATAAACAAAAATTAGTTTCAAAATGTAATCAAATAAAAATCAATAATAAAAATAATATATATTAGTTTGATGTCCGAGTGTGAGCTCCGGGTCCTCACAACACAACTGCTTCTGTTGATAGACAACGAGTGAATGATATGGTTAGGCAGTATTGGCACAGGTCTTATATACTCTCTCGCTATGCATTATCGGTGAATAATGTACACAATTATTTTGAATTAAAGTGCATGGTATAATTTTTGTATCACTAAACATTTCATAGTTGCAGTATGTTATGGTGAATCACAAAATTATTATTTTTACCAAGAACTGTATGATTAACCATATAAGTATGCATGTTAGTAAATAGGAATTTTACTTTGTAAAAATAGTTAAAATGTTATCATGGAAATTTTTATACTAATTAAGCTATTTATGACTTTATTTGGCAATAGGTCACTTAATTTTGCATTAAAACTAGGCAGGCCTATAATTCATAAAAATAACATCACAGGTAAAGTTTCCATGTTTAAATGTTTTCATACATTTCTATTCATTTTCATTATATTTTGTAATATTTTACGCATATATAAAACGAGTCATTCAGTGTCTTATTGTTTCAATAATAAAATATATTTAATATTTATTCACTAACTTATAATGTATATAACATTGTTTTAAAAATTAAAACACGTATAATTATACAGTTGTAGAAAATACAGACTCATTATTAGTAAATGTAAAAATAAATTGCTAAATAACTACAAGTTTTAACTAGATTTTAAATCAAAATACCTATAAATATTTATTTCAATAAACCAGAACAACTTAAACAATTTAATTACTGTCACAATGTAGTTAATTATGATTGTTACAATTAAATTATAACCATAATTAATATAACCACCAAGTTAATCTATGATAGGGGGCATCAATATGTTTGTGCATTAATCATCACGTAATTTATGAACAGCCCCTAAACATCATATGTTTTGGCGCTAAACAGTTATTTCAGTCAAACACTGACTTAACGTTAGATTTGTTTATAATTTTGATGTTTTATTATTTATATTTTCAACAATTAATTCACTATTGATTTAATATTACAAACAATTAATTACATTAAATACTATATAATAATTACATTTAACTTTTAGAGTGAATTAGTGTTTGAATACAACTGCAAAACACATCACAATTTGATTGACAACAACAACACGTGTTTTTATCGTGTGTTTTGCGGCCACAAAATGCCCCCAAAAATGCCCGCAAAACCTAAAATTAAACGTAAAATTATAACATTTTAATTAACTAATCATAACATTAATTGCGAAACTAATTAACACTTTATTATTACACCATAAATATAGCGAGAATTGCGGCCAACGGTTACCGACTGTGCGATCCCTTCAGCGCAGGCCAAGTGCTCATCGACTCAAACAACAAACAATGGGTTTTAGGTATAGACAACACCCCCACCCCTTCCATACCCCCTCT